CACATGGGAACCCGAATAACACCTAAACAACTCACCAGACAAAGTAAAAACATTCCACGATAACAACCCTAGTGCACCCCGATGGATACGATTCCAATTACATTTCCAACCGTTCAAAAACTTCACAACGACTAGAGTCCAAAAACAATTATTCAATTGGGAAAACGGAAAAATGGACCCCTACTTTCGAGACGAAAGTCCTAAGGAGGGGGTAATGTCACGACCTGAACAAGAGCGCTAGTTTCTTTTTCATTTTCTTTAATATCTAATCACATGACAGATATAATATGTTAAGCTGCTGCTATTAGCGCGGATAACATAATACTTAGTTATATCAGATCACGTGACCATCACGTGACAAAGAGCCTAGAACTATTACAAAGAACATCAGTCAGCGCCTCATGGCTGACTTTCAGAAACGTATATATAGTGAACACCCATGTACATATTTTCCTTAGTTGTTGATTACTTCTCAATCGATTACTTGTGACGCTACTTGTCGATTTAAGGTCTTCATCCCTCCGTTAGCTCGGTATAGGGGATAAGGCTTTTACACAGGTGTCAATAATGAAGCAAATATTCAAAAAGACTCGCCTTTGCGCCACACAGGCACAGTGCCACGTGGAATAGTAATTAATATTGCCTTTTTTGAACTTGTGGCTGATCAGCACCACCTCTATTAGGCAATCCAGTCATGCTCACCTTTGCTTTTCCATTCGGTACTTTCCGCATTTCGGCATTTCGGCAAATTTTTGCGTCACCACTGGCTACACATTGCATTGCACCCTTGCTTTTGTCGTTTCCCTTACTCCCTTTCCTTTGCCTAGCCCCACCATGGGCCCCTTCCTCTCCTTTTTATTCTCACCTGACGGTCGTTTCTGGATCCCCATTCCAATCCACTTTTTTGTCACCTCCACCCTCCTCCTCCTCATCTTATTTGCACCCCCACCATTTCTGATGTCACCACTTCCTATCCGCTTCCGTCGCCGATCCGTTGACTACCACATGCCACTGCTGATATCAGCAAAGCCCCGGCGGCCGGTCCAAATAGGGCAACAGGTCCATCTTCATGACGTCGATCTGCCATCATATACTATCAAAACATTGGTCGCTCGTCTTGCCTGGTTGGAGCGTGGGTGGGTAGTTTTTGAGCTGGAGAAGGTTCATCCCCTTGCGTTGCCCATGTTCATCGCTGTCCCATTCACTTGGGTACACTTATCTTTTGTCCATTGTCTTTAATAAAACTAAGTGAAACTCAGCCGCTGCCCGAGAGGCTATAGAAACGACTTTATTATTTACCTAAGTGAAACCCCAATAGATGTTAGTTTAAGGTGATCTCTAATAAATGTAATGTAACATACCTCAGCCACTGCCCGAGAGGCTATAGAAACGACTGAGGTATTCCTATACTAAACCCCCTACTACTTATAGTCGGAGGTGCTACTCGCTACAGTATAATGACTCCTAGGAGAACAATGGTTACTCCATGGAGTGGTGGCTATGCTCCATGGAGAACAATGGCTGCTTCGGCAGAGACTGGGTTTATCCGGTTGTGTCAGTCTTCGCTACAGCTACACCTACCACACGCTGCCTGGGACTCACTTGTTCCAAATTGGAACTACTCCTCTCCCTCCCTCGTTTGATCAGGTGGTCCAACACAACCAGTCCATTGGTAAGGCCATGGAACTGTTGGATTTGGACTAGGTGGTGGACCGGTGGCTCCAGTTTCTTTTTTTTCAGCAGAACATTCATTTACAGTGCGATTATTTTTGATTTTTGAATCATTTTTATGGACACATATTTTTTTTAGAATGTCTGACTGACAATAAAGGAACTGTGTTGATACTGATAGTGTTTTGCCTTGCCCTTTTTTTACTGCATCTTCCCATGACATCATGATTTCCTGCTCTCTTTTTGCTATTGGACTTTACCTTTACTTTATGGCTGTACAAACCTGTGACATTACTCACAGCATTCATTGTTCTATCTCTTTCTTTTCCTTTTTTTGACAATCTTATCCTGTACTACCTACGCAGGATTTGTCAGCATACATTCCTTCCTTCATGTCCTTTCTCATTCTTTTTGCACAGCTATACTGTGCATAGCCTACTTTTCTTTTACTATATAAACCCCTGTATTTTACCTTGTAAAAAAAAACAAGCAATCCAATCCAGACTTCTTCTCTAATCTCAAGTTCACTACTCTCTGCTACTTGTGATCCAGTGTGGTCACAACACTTCCCACTGCTACCACTGTTAATTGCTGTCATCGTCACTTCCCACTTTTGAAGTCATTGTTATCCCTTTCGATTAGAGTCCTTCTGAGCACTACAGTTTGTGCGTCAGGAGCCTGCTATCACTGGGAACCTCGTCGTTCTCAAACCTACCTTGTGCTACAATTAGCAAGGTAGTGCTCATCTATGCTCGTTACTAAGCCCCTATCTTCTATAAATTCAACTATCCCTCCTCCTCAAAACCCACACTCATACACCTCTGGGTTTTACTTTGAAGGATCTTTATATGTAGCACCCCACGAACAACCAGACCACTCCACTGTTCTAGGAGGCAAAGCCCATAAACAAGTTCCGTGGAATCTGGGAGGATTGTGTGTTTGTTTGTTTTTGTGTGTGGTTTTCTAACAGCAGTTCTCATCATCGACAATGCCTAGACAAGTCCCTATTATATAGCGCTATATAGCAGCACTATTTTGAGACATTTTCTATACCAGTTATGATAGCATCTCTGTAATACATGTACTATACCTCTACTATAACTGCTACCATAGAACATAAAAGCCATCACTACCATAAAATATTATTCCAGGGCATTTATATTATTTTTACTTGTATTATAATCAGAGGTCATATTCAGTGAAATCAACATATATTTCTAATACGGTTACATGACATATGTAATGATAAACTATCCTAACAAAGTTGAAACATACCTTTAAATCAGATACTGTAAGTTATTCATACTGTGTACAATGCACTCAGTAATGTTATATAAATGCTACCATGAAATTACTCACCACAATTTCATGAATGGCTTGTGAGCTTTGCTTGATAACTCATCAAGTCTGTGCAAGACAATAACTGTTACAATTGACATACCAGCACCTACTTATGCTTCACTTTTTGTACTTTTACTTTTCATTTTCCAAGTCACATGACTGATCATGTGACCATTTACTTTACATTTTCGGACTTTTCATAGTCACATGCTAGACATTGTACTTTAAACTTTATTTACAACTGTACAGTACCTCATGTATTTTAGTATATATACAGGAGCAATATATGGGGAAGGACTCAGCGAGTCCTCCTGTTGTCTAGCACAACAAACTTCTTGAAACCTAAGGGGTGATCCCTTCTTTCTCTCTTCTCTCTTCTGCTTGTCTGAGTTGTGCGCCAGAGTAAGAAAGTCTTGGTCGTTCCAATAACACAATAAGTGACTACCACCAAGTATTAAATGGGTGAACTTACCTCTGCCTATTCACCAGCGACTCAGGAAAAATAAAAGTGGTTATACATATACCAATAAATCACTGTAATGACAAAAGACATCAGTGGGGATAGCTAGGACTGATGAGTCCCATATATAAGAATTCTGGACACAAACTATACCTGAAGGTAGACTTGTGATGTGGTGGTTGAATATAGTGGGGGCATTTATAGCACTTATGCCAATGCAGATGGTGGCTGAGAATAAAAAGAGCTTGTATTAGTGTCACATAAGATAACTGTAAAAAAGAAAACATACATTAGGCTAAGATACTCATTGAGTGTTGTATTAGCTTGACTTTGTTGCAAAAGATGGAGAAAATCCAAGTGAAGCATCCAAATGTACTGAGCTGTGATGTGACTTGTGACATAACACTAGTGCCACGTATACATCAAGAGCTGACTCTGAAAAAAAAATGGCACAAAATTTAATCTAATCATAGGAAGCATGTGAAAACGGATAATGACATTTTCCATTTTCACACACTCTATTTTAGTGTTCAAAGTCAACTGCTAGAAAATTTTGCTTTGGTGTGGAAATTTAAAGCTCCACTTAAAATTATTTTTCCCTGTTAAGCAAGCCACCTTGGAAACACATCTAATCTAATCATGGGAAGTGTGTGAAAATGGACAGCGACACTATCCATTTTCACGCACTCAATTATAGTGTTCAAAGTCAACTGCTGGAAAATTCACTTTGGTGCCACATGTTCAAACTCCACCTAAATCCATCCTTGTGCGTCAAGCAAAACACTTCAACTTTGATGTGATGTTAGTGGTGTTCTTTAGTATCTGTACAATTGAATATTTGTGATAGATTTTTATAAAACCATGAGACTGATTTACCTGCATAACAAACCATTGTATGAATAATAAGAGCATTCTCATTACCACCAGAAAAATGTCTCATGGAAAACAACAAGCTATTATAGCTCCTATAGCTGTTATAGCATCTATAGCATCTATCATAGCAATGCCTGGTTGCTGAAATATACAGACAATATTTGGGACATATGTGATAGACTTTTATTGCATAAATAACCAGGCTAATATATATGCCAAACCATTTAGTGAGTAATAATGGTGTTTTTATCACGATCAGAACAAAGTTCCCATAGATAGAAACAAGCCATCATGGCTACTATAGCTGCTATAGCTACCATAGCAGTTATGATATCTATTATAGAAATTTTTTGACTATTATAGTAATGCTATAGCTGTTATAGAAGCCATAGAAACATGCTTAGCTATATAGCAAAATGGTTTTTCCTGATGTCCCTCTCTTTCAAAACTACTGCTCCTGTCATCAACAACAGACCGAGGCCGCTTGTCAAAGGATACAGTGATCTTTTGACAGCCTTTAGAGGCTTCTTGTAAAGCCTTCTGTGTCAGGCAACAAATACGAAGCTATATAACAAAGCTCAATGTCTGGTCAAGTCCTTCCTTGAAGGCGGTGAATCAGAGTATGAGAATGAAGAGTATCGGTAAGAGCGCAAATCCAAACTAATATTGAACTAGAGAACAATACATTGAGTATATACTTCTCTTATATAGTGAACGGCGATGGTCAGACCGAGAAAGGGAACTACTGAGAAAGTGGTCTGACCAGCTAACTAACCAATAAGAAAAAAGGGAGGAAGTGGTCCGATCTATCGTGTTTACTAATCGTATCAGAAAACGTATTGGTAAGGGATATGCGATTGGCTGTATCAGTAAGCCCATGAGAAGGCGCTGATTCACTACCTTCTTCGCTTATCAATATTCCTCCGAAGTATTCCCAGACATAGCACTGAATCGTGGCTATGTCATCTGGATATCTTCTTGAGGGTCGACAACGAGTCTACCTTGTTGTAGGTACGATAGAACGTGAGTGTGAAGAGAGAATAAGAAGAAAAATGATAAAAGTAATAAGACACCAGCTGTAATCTCTAGTCCAAGGGCAAGAGGAGTGATGGGGATCGAATCTGCTAACCACGACATGACGGGAATGCGATAAGAAAAATCGATTCCTCACATTAGCTCCCCTTTTATAAGACTCGTGTCCTCATGAGTCCGGATGCGGCACTTTGGAACTTGTTACTAATCCAATCAAAAAGCATCAGCGGTTTAGAAGTGGCGGTGTAGTTTTCGTAAGGACGGAAGTGAAGAGAAGCGGTAATAATACGAGGGGCGGCGGGATTTGTTTTGTGGAAGGTGGCGAGTAAATCAGCGACATGCGTAAGATTGGTGTCGGGTTCCCAAGTGCGTTCGGAGACTGGATAACCATGCCAGTGAATTAGGTAGTCGAGCTTACTACCTTTCAGTTTAGTCGGTCTGGAAGCGATTATACTCTCTACTTCGTATTCGTCTATTCCTTCCACAATCTCGGGTGGTGGCCGCGAGGAAATTGGTTGATTGAGGAATTCGGGAGCGTGGTATGGTGAGAGGATGGCTTCGTTGAATACGGGGTGAATGGACTTCCAACTTTTAGGGATGTCGAGTTGATATGCGGAGGGTCCGACCTTTTGGGTGACTTTGAAAGGTCCGAAGCGTTTATCGTCTAATTTCTTCATTGGTCTATCCGTTGTGATATTATGCCCTTCTAACCAGACTTTGTCGCCAGCTTGGTACTCCCGGGAGGGGGATTTCTTACGGTCGTAATACTTCTTCAGATTCTCGTTTGCTACAAGAAGGGAGGATTTCGTGATATCGTGGAGTTTTTTCATTTGTTCGCTAAATTCTGCTGCAGAAGCGGAGCGAGGGGACAACGTGGTGGTGATATTCGTTCTTGGGTGTAACCCATAGTTCAAAAAGAAGGGTGTTTGATTCGTTGCGGTATGGAGGTGGTTGTTGTATGTAAACTCAGCAATGGAGAGCCAGTCTGCCCAGTCATCTTGTCGATGATTTATAAAAACGCGGAGGTAGTGCTCTAGATCCTGGTTGATCCGTTCGGATTGTCCGTCTGTTTGAGGGTGATAGCCTGTAGAGAGGCCTGGTGTTATCCCCATTAGGTCGTAGAAGTCTTTTGTGAATCGAGACATGAATTGAGGACCTCGATCGGAGACGATCTTTTCAGGAATTCCGTGGAGTCGTATTACATTATCTCGGAGTTGACATGCATAACCGGCCGAGTCGAGAGTGACGAAGGTGGGGACGAAATGGGCCATTTTACTAAATCGGTCAACAAAGACCTGAACGGCGGTGTAGCCCTTGGATTCCGGTAATGCGCCTATGAGATCGGTGGTGATAACCTGCCAAGGCCGATCTGGTATCGGGTTCGGGTGTAGAGGGGCGTTAGTCTTTGTCCGATGTGCCTTGGTGCGTTGACAACTCTCGCATCCTCGTACATACCGTCTGATATCTGTACGAAGACTTGGCCACCAGAGCTCTCGGTTTACTCGTTCAAACATCGTTCTTTCTCCTGGGTGCCCGGCTAGGGCTTCGTTGTGATGATCTTTCAATATTCGCGCCCTTAGTTCGTGATTTCGGGGAACGTATACTCGGTCAGCTAAAGGGATCGGGTAGGAACTCGTCGCGGACTCTCTCTTGATCCAGACGATCCTATCCTTCATCTTCCAGGTATCCGGCTTCTCTTTCAAGTTCTTCTTTACTACGTCGTCTTGTTTCTGGAAGCTTTGACGTATATCTGGTAGGTATCCTTCGTTGGTGTCAAGTAATTCGAAATGTACGTCTGGGAGAAGTATCTGATCTTCGTTATCGTTTGTGCCTTTAGGATGATCGATCCGTCTGCTTAACAGGTCGGCCTTCGTATTCTGATTTCCTTTGACGTGTTCCATCTTAAAATTATAATCTGCAAGCTGGGATGACCATCGAGCTTGGCGTCGATTGTATTTCTGAGGTTGACGGAAGTAGAGGAGGTTTTGGTGATCTGTGAAGATGGTGAAGGGGTGTTTCGATCCTACAAGGTGATGTCGCCATTCATCTAACGCCGTCATGACTGCGAGCATCTCTTTGTCGTAAATTTCATAGTTCCGTTCTGCAGGGGTAAGGGCTTTCGAGAGGAATGCTATGGGTCTGAATTTGTCGTTTTGTTTCTGGGATAGGACGGCTCCTACAGCGAAGTCAGAGGCGTCGGTTTCTAGTTTGAATGGGTCGTCGTCGTTTGGTATAGCAAGGGTGGGGGCAGTAGTGAGCGTTTTCTTCAATGTTTCAAAGGACGTTTCTTGTTCGTCCTTCCAGGTCCAGTCAACTTTTCCGGTGAGCACAGTGAGTGGTTTCGCAATTCGTCCGTAGTCTTTGACAAATCGTCGATAGAAATTGGAGAACCCTAAGAATGATTGGAGTTCTCTTTTATTCTTTGGTGCGGGCCAGTCAGCGACCGCTGCGACTTTTAACGGGTCCATACGGATAGTGTCTTTGGAGATGATCATGCCTAAATACTCGACTTCCTGTTTCTCGAATTCGCACTTTTCTGGTTTAAGATACAACTGATTTTGTTGCAGGATATGGAGGACTTTGGTGACTATTTGACGATGTTCTTCGAGTGTTTCCGTGAAGATCATAATATCGTCTAAATATACAATAACTTTTCCTTCCGTGATCAGTTCTCTTAGGAGGTGGTCCATCATGGTCTGGAAGGTTGCTGGCGAGTTGGTAAGTCCGAAAAACATGACGAGGGGTTCGAACAGGCCGCGATTGGTCCTGAAAGCGGCTTTGTGTTCGTCTCCTTCTTGGATTCGGACGTTGTTGTATCCCCATCGTACGTCTGGTTTCGTGAAGTAATTGGCACCTTTGAGTTTATCGATGAGTTCGGATATGAGGGGGAGGGTGTAGCGATTCTTTATGGTAAGCTCATTCAGCTTGCGATAATCTTGGACAGGGCGTAGTGAGCCATCTTTCTTTTTGATAAAGAAGAATGGTGATGCGTAAGGTGATTTGGATACTCGAATCCGTCCACTTGTTAGATTTTCGTTAAGGAATTCGTCTAGATGGTGTTGTTCGTCTCGGCTAAGAGGGTACGTTTTGCAGTCAAGACCATTAGCCTCTGGTATTAACTCAATTGCATGGTCCCAAGGACGTTTCGGGGGAAGTTTGTCAAATGATTCTTTGGTGAAAACGGGTTCGAATTCATGGTAGATTGGAGGAACGACATCTCGGAAAGTAAGCTTTGACTTTGCCTTTTCGGAGGATTCGGCGATTTGTTGACTTTTAGTGGCAAATGCGTTCAATTCTAGCTGTGTTATCTCCATAATTCGTGTTTCAAGATCGACGGCTAGAACTTTATCCCCTTCTTCAGGATGATACTCCGGATCATCAGCAGGGAAGGTAATCTTGTTGGTCCGCCAATCAATTGTTGGATTCGTCAGTATCAACCAGTCGTATCCAAGCAGTATGCGTGGTGAAAGTAGAGATGCTACGATGACGTCTATCAAATGTTCTTTCCCTTTCACATTGATGTGAAGAGTGACATAGTGTGTTACTTTCTGGGATCGACCATCGGCTCCTGCAGCGTCAAGAGGGACGGGCAGAGGCGTAGTATTGAGGGTATACTTGTCAACCAGGCTTCGATCGATAACCGAGTTGGTGCAACCAGAGTCGATAAGGGTTGGGACGGTGAATGTCTGTCTGTCGTCTATGGTAGTGACTTGAGAAATGATATGGAGGCTTCGTTTTGACGTAGGGTGGTGCGGCGAGGTGTAAGCATGGATGCGTTCTATAATGTTCTCTTCGTCGTGGTTCCTTAGCATCTGTATCGCCTGCAGGGTGATATGCTCGTAGTGATCTTTATGGGCCCAGTTTCGTAACAGAGCTCTTGCTCTTTCTGGTTTCTGGTCTTTGATTCGTCTGGCCAACCATTCCGGTGAATGTGGCTTCGCGTAGGTTTCGGTTACAGCACGTAGATGTTGATCAACTCGTTTTATTGCAGTCGTTGGTAATGTACGAGGGTTAAATACAACATTCCGGGTCAGAGAGTCCGTGCTTACTCCTGACCTTTCTGAAAATCCTTCGGGGGTGCTTCGATTTCTTTTAATGACGATGTAGTGGGAGTGTCTTTGGTTTCCTCCGTTTCCATATATCGTATTGCCATCTTTCCATGTGGGCAATTTCTAGCAATGTGGCCTCGTTCGCCACAATTGTAACAAGTAACATTCGGGTTGGGCCGATGTTGTCTTTGCGTGTTGGAACTCCCAATCTCCATAGGTACACCTGATCCTCCAAACGTTCCTGCTGTGTTTGGATGGACTGCATTCTGGGGCGGTGGTTTATGAGATGGAGTATAATACGGTCGCTGTTGGATATACCGTGGTCTTCGCGTCTCTGTTCGCGGTACTGTCTGTTGATGCTGTGGTGGAGGGTAGCCTTGGTTCTGCTGATAGCGCGGTTGATATCGTTGGTACTGAGTTGGCAGCCTTTGTTGAGGTGGTTTATCTCTCCTCCTTTCCAGATTAAGCTCTTCATTTCGCTGTTCCCATTTCCTTGCCGCTGCCTTCCACTCTAAGTACGTGGTGGGTAGGTTTTCCTGTTGCGAGATACGATCACGAAGGAACTGGGAGAGGTTGCGGCGAAGAATACTGTGAATGAACGGATAACTTTCATCTGCGTCTGGTGGTAATCCCGCTTCCATAAGTTTGGATTCGAGTCCTCCGAAATATGCGTCTACCGTCATCTCTCGTTGTTCGTAATCATGAAGGGCAATCTCTGCTTTCAACTTGAGATGGGGGTCCAGGAATTCGTTATCTAATTCCTTGATGAATTCTGAGATAGTTCCCCAATTTCGCGGTGCAAATAAGTCTCCTAGCACTGCGGTTTTGTTGTTGAAGTTCGCCTTCCATGTATGACAGGCGTCATTGGCTTTATCGGACGAGATTCGGGATAGTGCAAAGAGGATTTTGGAGGAGTTGGTCTGGAAACTTCTGGGATAGGCGAAAAAGTAGTTTGCTAAAGCGTTCTTCCAGTCAACGTATGTTTCCTTTTTACCGATGAATTCGAATGGAGGGGTGGCAAGGACAGCTTTGCTTCCTTGATTTGTTTCGTCGGCCATTGCTGCCGCTAGATCAGGTTCAAGGTCTAAAGATTCCTGA